ATGTCCATTTTCTCACAAATTGAGCATAAACTCCAAGAATTCTCTCATGCATGTTTGAAATTCATCTTAATTATGGGAAATCTTCAAGTTTCAAGTTGTTTTGTGGTGTTTGATCATGTTTTGAGAAGTTTGATACAAGAAAAATCCATGCATGTTGTGTTCATAAACATTCTTGAAGTTTAAGTTGAAATTGGGAACTTTTGGCAAACCCTTGGGCCATGATTTTATGAAATGATCCTAAAGGCTTCATGTTTTACAAGTTTACTTTGTTATCTCAAGTTTTGGGGCCCAAGAGATGTGTTTTGGATGGTGGAATTCGAGTTTTGAACTTGGGAGGTCAATCTGGATTTTCCAGAAATTTGACCCACGCTCGAGCGGGGACTTTCACGCTCAAGCGTGAACCCTGAATACATGCGCCACGCTCGAGCGTGGGTTGAGCGCTCGTCGAGCGTGAAAGCCTTGCATCTAGCACTTTTTGAGTTTACAGTCCGCTCGAGCAGGGAAAGCCACGCTCGAGCGGAGCCTTCATTGTCTGCATGTCCGCTCGAGCGGGGAAACCCAAGCTCGAGCGTAGACCTCATTTTCAGAAAATTTGACTAAGTGTTCCAATTCATATTTTGGCATCCTCATTGCATCTTAGGCATTCCTAAGACCTAATTAAGCTTTGATAATGAGGTTATGGATTAGAAACACACTAAGTGAAGAATGTACTAAGTTATGAGATTCAAGAGTGTGTTTTGAGCAATGTGTTAAGCAAGAAACCTATGTAATAAGAAAGCTAAGCCGTGTTGGCCACATGAATGTGTAATGATAAGACATGCTTGTGTTATGTATTTTGTGATTGTAGGTCAAGACTCGAGGATTGATTGACCGCTTACTGGAGCCACTGTGAGTAACGTTATCGTAAAGATACATTTATATGAAATTATGTTCCAAATGAAATGTGATAAGCTATGATTTCTGAAATGATATATGTTTTCGTGAACGAATAGTCCATGTTTGAAATCTATTATGGCATCCACAGATAGTCCCAAGTCATGGGGGACGACATGAAAATGCGGGTCCATGACATACAAGTAATTACGAGATCTCGTTAGCCACTTCATTGTGGTGATATGTGTTTAATCGGTATCCGGAACCGATTACTCTAGTCGGAAGACGTTCTGTGATATGTTCTATGGGATGTACTATTATTATGTTCTGATATGAGGATGATTATGCTATGATCTGTTTTCTGCTTATGATATGTTCGGATTTCGTTCACTAACCCCTTTCCCTTAATGTTATTCACTGGGTTTTAGCTCACTGTTTGTATATATATATATATATATGTATGTATAGGTGAGCATTCTGGAGTTCGACCCTGAAGGCTTTTGTTTGGATCTGTATTCCGTTGTCAGCCAACCATTGTACCTCACGTGGAGGTTCCCGAAGCGTCCTGTGTTTAAGTTCTGTGGTTTCTGTATATATAAGACTCGGTTGTTCTGTTGGCTGTACTTAAGATACTTTAATGTGTGTGGGTATAATATATGAATGACTTTTGATTATGTATATAAAGTTTTTAAATATTTTGTTTCATATAAGTCAGCATAGCTCATTGGACAACTATATTTATGTATTTGCTTCCGCTAGCCCCTTAATCTTGTTAATCTGTTCAGAGGCCTTCGGTAGTCCAAGGATTACTGGCCGGTTACGATGCTAAACCTATAAGGGTGGGTTTGGGTCGTGACAGACAGCCACCTGGGGTAGTCCACGTTTTTGATAAATTGTGCCTCAAGGAGCTTATCTACTTCAGAAGCAATAAGAGTATTGCGTTTCGAGTGAAAAATGCGCTGCTTCTGGCGGAAGGGTCGAAAATGGGGCTCAATGCTGAGACGATGGGTGATAAAAGAGGGGTCAATACCCGGCATGTCGGAGTGGGTCCAAGCAAATACGTTGTTGTGCTCAATCAAGAGGGCCGTAAGGTCGGGCTTGGCCTGGGAGGATAGTTGGCTGCCGATCTTGGCAGTTTTTATCGGGTTGGTGGGATTGATGGGGACCTCGACAAGCTCTTCCGCTGGTTCCCCTCTGACCAGCTCGTCCTCGTCTCTAACGTCGAGTCCTTCAATGATCATAGCCTCCTTTAGCTTGACCTCTTTAAGTGAAGCGACGTAACATTCTCTGGCCACGGTCTGCTCTCCCCTCACCGTGCCGACCCCAAGGTCGGTAAGGAATTTGATGGCAAGATGGAAAGTAGATGTGATAGCTTGGAAAACATTTAGGGCGGTGCGGCCGAGGATAATGTTGTAAGCAGAGGGACAATCGACGACGAGGAAGGTGAGCAACTTTGAGGTCTGTCGCGGGTATTCTCTGATTGTGATGGGAAGATCGATGGAGCTGATAGAGGTCACCCGATCTCCAGTAAAACCAACCAATGGGGTTTGGAGAGGGGACAGACTTTCTTCCCCGACCTTGAGCTGGCAGAAGGCATTTAGGAAGATGATGTCTGAAGAACTGTCGTTGTCGACGAGAACCCGTCTGACTTTGTAATTGGAGAGGAGGGTAGAGATGACGAGGGGGTCATCATGGGGGTAACAGATGCCTATGCAATCGGCCTCCGTAAAGGTGATGGGCTTCATCCACTGCTTGGGCTGTTTGGAGGGGCGGTCCAATGTGGCAACGTCTTTGTCTGAGCCCTGCTTTATTTTTCTGAGTTCTGCCCGCTGAGCTGAGCTGAGCGGGATGGTCCTCCACAAGCAAGCCCGCCAGCAATAACTCTGATCTCTCCAACAAGGGGGGCAGGGTTACCTTATGCCCGGGGTTGCTGTGGAGGGCGATCATGACCTTGGTTAGGTTGTGCGAGTTGTCAAGAAGGGGTGCACCGGCGGTTGTTTCTAATAGGTTTTGCCTCTGCTGAGGGCAGGCTTCCATGAACCGACTGAGACGTCCCTGACATATCAAGCCCTCGACCTGATCTTTGAGGTTAAGACACTCCTCGGTATTATGGCTATGGTCCTGATGAAAGCGGCAGTATTTGGACTGGTCTCGTCGGTTGGAAGGAGACCGCGACGGTTGAGGCCATTTTAGGTGATAGTCTCGTTGAATCTGGTTCAGGACTTGTTCCATGGGGGAGTTGAGGGGTGTGTATCGTTCGAACCTGCCGGGCGGTCGGGTTGGCCCCGACCGGTCGGCTCGGGCTGGTCGGTCGGTATACTGAGGTGTTTGGTGAGTGTACTGGGTGTTTCTAGTTTCTAAGTCCTTTCTCTTCTCTCTGGGGGTCGGGTTTTTGGCTGTAGGATCTTGTCGGGCGGCTAGGGAATCTTCGGCGTTCATGTATTTTTGGGCTTTGGAAAGTGGGGTTGCCATGGAGGTCGGGGGGTTTTTGGAGAGGGAAAAAAGGAAATCAGATGATCGTAGACCGGCCATGAAAGCCGTGAGGATGACCTTATCGTCGTTTTTCGCTACCTGCAGGGCATCGGTGTTGGAGCGGGTGACGAAGCTACGCAGCGACTTCCCCTCGATCTGACGGATATTGAGGAGCTGGGTTGCCGGACGCCGCTGGCGCTGGGCACCAATGAAATGGCTGAGAAAGGAGTCACTTAGGTGCTGGAAAGTGGAGATAGAGTCTGTTGGCAGTTGACTAAACCAGAGTCGAGCTGACCCCTTAAGTGTTACGGGGAAAGCCTGATATATGATCTCGTCAGGGAATGCATGAAGGACCATGAGGGTCCTGTAAGTTTCCAAATGGTCGACCGGGTCTGTTGTGCCGTCGAAAGAGTCGAGTGAAGGCATTTTGAACTTAGAAGGTAAGGGTTTGTCCCTGATGAAGGCAACGAACGGTGAGTTGGTTGTGGTAGATGGTTTAGTCTGTATATTCTGCATGACTCCTTAGAGCTGGAGCTTCATGACTCGGAGTTCTGCATCCCAGAGAGGAATGTTATCACCACCGGAATGCAGCGGAGGCTGGACACTACTGGTCTCTCCCTCGGAAGTGGGTGCCTGGATCGATGGATGTGGGGCCTGGGGTGGCGGGTTCATATCTGGGGGAGGGGGTCGCAAGCCTTCCAAGTTGGGTGGGTAGGGCTGTTGGATAGGATGGCTCAGGGCTCGTTCTTGGTTGGGTGGGATATCTTGAGGTAGAGGAGAATGAGGGACGAAAAGGTCTCTTTGAAGCAAAGCATTGATCAGAGCTTGGTTTTGCTCTGCTAAGCGGTTGATGCTATTGGTAAGTTCTGTGAAGTACTGCGGCGGGTTATTTGGATTGGGAGGGTCGGCTTTGTGGTCGGCAGCATTGAGGTGAGAAGCCATGGATCTAGTAGTGACCATCCACCTTGGTGAGTGGTAGGGAGGGGTTATTGGGAAGGGGTCTCCGGCGACAATGAGCACAACTGGCGCGCAGAGCAAAATGTTTCCCACAAACGGCGCCAACTGATGATGTAGCATGTTCTGGATGGAACGAGTCAGACTGATCCACGCTTCCCAAACCAGTGTCCGAGGTACCCAGCCCACAAAGAAACCTGCACAAGAGTTCAACGGGGAACGAGGTGTCCCCCAGTGAACCCTCTGACGAGCAAGTTAGAAGAAGAGATGGAATGTAGAGATAGATTAGTGATAGAAAGCTTAACCTTTTTATTGTCTTCGATGCCTGCTTATATCTTTTGCTAATCATTTTGTTGTCCCTTCCGACCTGTCACCTTGGCCGAAAGTCTATGCTCTAGCTTACCTTGTTCATAGTGAGGTCGTTCTGTCCCGACAGAGAGGGGTTATCACAATAAATACTGTAAGGAGCTCCATTAATGGCTGATGTGCAGTGCAATAACTTTGTAGGATCTTTGTCTACTTATGTGGCTTGTCCTTTTCTTTCCATGTGTTTAGATGTCATTGGTTCTTAATGCCATGTTGAGCTCCAGCAACGTTGGGCCTTAGTATTTGAGTTATGTATTGGGCCCTAAGTGGTGGGCTATAACCTTTATGGGCTTACCCGTGTCACTTTCAATCTGAAAAGGAAGAAGAAAAAAAAAATGATGAAGCAGAGTATCATATCGAAGAAGAAGAAGAACAAACAGTCCATCTCAGAACAAGTTCCAATCCAAATCATCCTCGAAATCCTCTCTAGACTCCCTATCAAATCCCTCTTTTGTTGCCAACTCGTTTGCAAAGAATGGTTTTCTTTAATCTCAGACCCACACTTCGCTAAACTCCACCTCTCAAGATCACCCATCAGCCTCTTGATCAAACCCATCTTCAGAGACCACCGCGAATCCAGAAAACTCCACTTGTTCGACCTCCAAATCCCCCACAAAACCCGTCCCCATGAATCCCATCTCAAGCTCACTACTGAAATCAACATCCCATATGCGGGTCAAGAAATTGTGAATTCTTGTAATAGGTTGCTCTGTTTGTGCTACAAATCTGTGATTTGTGTGTGTAATCCGATTCTAGGCGAGTACATTACCTTACCATATGCAACCTATGATGGACATTACTGTGTTCCCACTGTTACTGCTTTTGGGTTTATTCTCAGGACTAATCAATACAAGGTTATACGGTTTTTTATCGAACGGGTTGTCGAGTCAATCAACCCCATTACTGACTTAAAGACTTATCGTGATGATCCAAAGGCTATGATTTACACAATTGGTGATGGGTTGTGGAGAAACTTAGGTAGTGTTCCTTATTATTTGACGAATCACTCGTTCAATTCTTTCGTGAATGAAGCTCTGCATTGGCTTAATTTTACACGTGATAGTCCTGATTTCATTCGATGTTTCGATTTTGATAGCGATGAATTTCGGGTTGTTCTTGAACCTCCTGAGTTCGGTCTGCGTAAGGAGTTTTCAGATCATATACGTGTGGGTGTGCTATGAGGTAGTCTCCCCATTTGTGATTTTTCTAGTCCTCTTCGTATGGATATATGGTTAATGAAAGATTATGGGATTAAGGAGTCATGGAGCAAAGAGTTGGTTATTGAAAATGGGATTGGTAGAATAGGGAATTTGGATTGTTATGAGCCAATTATGATTCTAAAGAGTGGTGAAATCTTGATGCTTGTTAACAAGGATGCTCTTAAGATATATAATCCTAAGTTGGATAAATTCAAGAAGCTAAATACTTCTGGGATTAAATAAGAATTTAATGTGACTGCTCATGTTCCGAGTTTTGTTTCCCTCAGGGATGTTACCAAAAGAGAGAAATTTTCTTTGTGTGTTTAACAGTTGCCAATGCAGGTACATATTTGTATTTGTGGTTTTTTTTTTTTTTTGGTTTCGTGAAAGTAAATTTTTGAAATTGAAATCGTTTTGCATCTTTATGAGTTTTTAGTATCTGCCATGGAAGCTCTTGTATATGTTATACTTGCTGATAATTTTCTCTATGTCAAGTTTGTCCACTATATATTTCTGTTGTTTGGCATCTTAACTTTGTTGAAGTTTAGTCTTGACCATGCTCATTTGTGTTATGTACTTTCACAAATGCGCTGTCACAAAATTTGTTAGGATGGAGTTTTGAATTTAGAGTCCAGGGGCACTTTCCACAAATAGAGACAATAGGCATTAGGGTTCAAGGAAAGGCCCAAGACAGATTCTTGCTTATTGTTAAGTGTTTTAACCTTTGCAAGTCCAGTCCAAATGTTTGTGTTTTTATCCTCCCTTGTATCTATACTCAAATACGTAATAGCTACTTTTGGGGTTGTTTTTGTTTTTTGAAAGAACACATTATGTAAGTAAGGATTTAAGTTTGGAAGAGCCTGGAGCTGCCTACCATCTTCTTCTTCTTCTTCTTCACAATGAAATATACTTGATTGGAAGGCAGCAGGTTTGGTTTGGGAAGTTCGAGTGATAATTAATGTCGAGGAGTGGCATATGCCATGGCGTAGAATATGCAAATAGGACCTTTTGCATTATTCTATCTTTTAACCAATATTATTGAGGTATTTTAATAATAATGAAAAAACTAGCTCTCCTTTGCCTTCAGCATTTTCCTTGATGTGGCTTCTTGTTCTATAACTCTTTTTCCTCCTTACCACCATGTCATAAATCATTGATTTTCAATTTGAGGAATCCTGTGTTTCCCGAGAAGACTGTTATCAAAACCCTTAGGCATTATTAGAGTTTGGAAACTGCCTCTTGCCCCTCCCAATCTTCGAAAGGGGAAGAGCCAGAGGTCCCCTATGCCTTCTGCGTTTGGACCAACATCCCTCAAGGGATTCATAATGATAGTGATGGATCATTTATACTTGGAGTTACAATCACAACCCTTGGTGTGGTAGTGAGAAATATTGTTATTGAGGGTGGATAGAATAGGTTTGAGTCTTCTTGTTTCATCCCCTTTGATTTCTGTAACTTCAGCTTGGAGTTTTGAAGTTGTTTATCCAATCTGATTGGGGAAAACAACCTGATTTCTCAATCATTTGTTGGAATAATCTTTTGTGTAAAATAATAAATAGAAACAAATCAAACAAATAAAATAAATTACGTACAGAATTTATTTTACCTTCTGCAAACTTGGGGTGCCCCTTGGGGCCTAACCCAAGTGTTGTCACCTAGAACTTATATACACGCATAAGTTCTCTTCAAGTTTTAATGTGGGATAAGCCTTACAAGGAAACTCACATTTATTCTTGAATTGTCCATTCCACAAACCCAAAAACGGCGTCAAGTTCCCATTTACTCATAAATAGTTTTGACGAATTGTCTTCACCGTGTGATTTGCCATGCGGTAAGGAACACATCACCTCTTCGGACCCACCTCAAAAGACATGTGGACCCCATCCAAATTTGGGCTCAAAGTTGGCCTAAAATAAGCCTATAAAAACCAAAATTTTCAATAATCCCCCACATGAACGGAATTTGACGGAGAGAAAATGTAACAACATGATCTAATTACAAAGAGTATAGAAATTGGAAATATTCTGCAAAGGATAGGTAGCTTTTGGCTTTAAACCTTTCATTATAAGACACTATCAGATTTACTTGCTAACCAGTGAACATGATGTCTTGAACTATTCAGCCATTTGTGTAAACCAAGACAGTAGAACTCACACAATATATCCCCAGACACAGTTTAGTTCTCACTATTGTGTTCATTTTGGCCTTGAACAACCTGATTTTTCATGAGTGCTTTAGAGAATTGTAGCCCTTCACAAATCTCATAGAACCGGCCTAATTCACTCATATAGGTGATTCTTATGAAGAGTATCCTGCCATACTCCACTAGGTATACTTAGATATAAGAATCATTAAAAGTATTACTTAACCTAAAACGCTGCAGACATCACTATTTTATCATAGAAATAGGTGGGAGTTTGACTCCCTAGTGATCCTTATGAGTCATACACAACTCGGTTGTCCCTTTGAACCTAGATCTTGGGATCTCCAGTCAACTAGGTTGGGTTGCCATTGTGGTAACTCTTATTTAATAGGCTTAAGTTCCATTCCCCTCGGTGAATTTTCAACTATGTTGTTTTTAGACTTCACATATTTAATAGGCTTACTCTCTTGCTAACCCTTTGGTTAGTGGATCCGTTATGTTGTTTTTAGACTTCACATATTCAATGGAAATAATTACATTAGAGAGTAGTTGTCTCACGGTGTTATGTTGATGACGAATGTGTCGTGACATACCGTTATACATATGATTTTGTGCTCTGCCTATTACTGATTGACTATCGCAATGTATGCATATAGCAGGTACCGATTTTGGCCACATTAGAATATCTTTAAGGAAGTGGCGAAGCCATTCTGCTTTTTCCCTAGCTTTATCTAAAGTTATGAATTCTGATTCCATAGTAGACCTAGCAATGCAAGTCTGTTTGAAAATTTTCCAAGATACAGCTGCATTACCAAGAGTAAAGACATACCCATTGGTGGACTTTGAGTCTCTAGTATCCGATATCCAGTTTGCATCATAGTATCCTTCAAGTACAGCTGGATATCTAGTATAATTAAGCCTAATGTTACAAGTAAATCGGAGATATCTCAAAACCCTTATCATTGCTTTCCAGTGTTCTACTCCTGGGTTATTCGTATATCTACTTAATTTACTCACTGCATAAGATATATCCGGGTGAATACAGTTCATCAAGTACATTAAGCTTCCAATAATTTGGACATACTCTAATTGAGAAATACTTTCATGTACATTCTTAGAAAGAAACAAATTAACATCCATAGGTATTCTAGCAAGACAATCATCATCTTTGTTAAATTTGTCAAGTATTTTCTCAGTGTAATGTGATTGTGACAAAGCATATCCTTCTAATGTTTTGGTAATTTTCATACCAAGTATTACATCAGCAATCTCCATGTTCTTCATGTCAAAATGTTTATTCAACATTTTCTTGGTAGTTTTAATCATATCATTATTACTACCTATGATGAGTATATCATCCACATAAAGACATACCATAACATAGTCGTTGCTAGTGTTTTTAATATAAACACATTTGTCACATTCATTAATTTTGAATCCATTTGACATCATTGCTTTGTCAAATTTCTCCTGCTATTGCTTTGGCGCTTGTTTTAAACCATATAATGATTTAACCAATTTATACACTTTCTTTTCTTTTCATAAAACAAAAAATCCTTCTGGTTGTTCCATGTAAATTTCTTTATCTAACTCACCATTTAAGAAAGCGGTTTTTACATCCATTTGATGAATTTCTAGATTGTACAACGATGTAATAACAATTAGCATTCTAATGAATGTTATTCTAACAACCAGTGAGTTCATCCCCTTTTTTTTTTTTTTTTTGAAAATCCATTTGTACCCAAGAGGTTTACAACCTGGTGGCAAATCCACCAATTCCCAAGTGTGATTTTGTAAGATGGATTCAACTTCGTTGTTTATAGCTTCTTTCCTTATAGAAGCTTCAGGACTGGACATAGTTTCTTTGAAAGTTAAAGACTTATTTCCTAATAAAAAAGTTAGAAAATCTAGACCAAAAGATTTTAAGGTTCTAGCACGTTTACTATGCCTAGGTTCCTCTTCTTCATTTTGATTTATCTCTTGCTCTTGTTCTTGATCATGTTCTTAATTATTACTACTAATAGTATCATAAGATCTTTTATTAGTACTAGTCTCTTGTCCAGTTTTGTTTGGAAATACATGTTCAAAGAATGATGCATTTCGAGATTCAATAATAGTATTTAAATGCATTTCAGAATGTTTTAATTTATAAATCAAAAACCGATACGCACTATTATTTTTGGCATAACCAATGAAAATACAATCAACGGTCTTAGGACCTATCTTAGTCTTTTTAGGACTAAGAATAGCTACTTTAGCCAAACACCCCCACACTTTTAAGTATTTGTAAGATGATACTTTTCCATGCCACAATTCATAAGGTGTTTGATTCACTTTCTTTCGGGTTATTTTATTTAAAATATAATTAGCTGAAAGCATTGCTTCCCCCCACAAGTTTTGAGGTAATCCAGAACTTATTAACATGGCATTCATCATTTCTTTTAAAGTCCTATTTTTTCTTTCAGCAATTCCATTTTGTTGAGATGAGTAAGGAGTGGTGGTTTGATGAATTATTCCATGTTCTTTACAAAACTCACCAAAAGGTGATTCATATTCACCACCTCTATCACTTCTAAGTTTCTTAATTTTCTTATCAAGTTGATTTTCATATTGAATGAAAGTTTTTAAAGCTTCATCCTTGGTTCGAATTAAATAAACATAACTATATCTAGTATAGTCATCTAATAAAAGTGATAAAATATTTTTTTCCATCTCTAGTGTGAATTGATTTAAAATCACAAATGTCACTATGAATTAATTCAAGTGGTTCCGTACTTCTTTTAATTGTATAAAAAGGAGATTTGGATAATTTTGTCTCAACACAAATTTTACATTTATG